TCAAGAAAATCATTTGGGGACAGTGGCGCTCAAAATTCTTATTCGCATACCACTTTTTTTTTAAAAAAGGTTAAACTTACCATCTCCGGATCATGTGAGTGGTATTGGTGTCTGTGGGTGTGGGCTTTTTTGCACGTGAAATGTACGCAAACACAATTTATGGTTGCTTTGAATTGCCTTTTACTAACGTTTACGAAATCTACAATGAGTGTATTGCACAACGTCTCAATTGAAGCCAGTAAGGTGAATGTTATTGTATTACATGACACTTAACTATCGGCGTCGAATACGAAATTTATTAAGGAAACAAACATTTGAGGCTTTAATTTAAATTTCCAAAGCGGAGCAATTCACTCGAACAGTTTTTTTCTGAATTCATTGTGAAAACGTTTTTCCAATATTTGTCAAGAAGCCGAATACTTTCGATTAATCTCGCCTTAGAGAAAGTGAATTGGTTCTGCATTAATCCTCTTCTCATCCAACAACGGTGCGTTATTGCTTTTGTGATTTTTGTGTTTTTTGTTGGATTTTTTCACGCATATGAAAAAAGGTAAGGCACTCTTTCAATTTTCCGCGCGGTGACGTCGCCGTAATTGAAGCACGGCAATTATTTCATTCAAATTACACTCTTTACTCGTGCCCTTCCGGAAATTGGATTTATAATGAGACTGTCAGCGTCGGTTTTTATGTCCAATGTGATCTGGGATCGTTTTGGAACGCTTCCAATCTCACCTAATCGAGCGTATCAACGCGTTGAATTTTTACTTCCATAGCGATCTTTCTCTTTTACGCGCCAACCTTGACACCTTAGCCTTCCACCTTTACGTGTTAAACCATCAGTTGCAATTATCACATGAGGAATTTCGATCTTATACCATTAAAATATCTCCTACACTACAATTAAGGAATGGAACAGTTCTTCATCTGTGACAGTGCAGTATTTTTGATCATATAATAAATTAAGGTTTAAGTAATAGAAACTTGTTCTTATTAGATGGATTTATAAATTCAGAGCATGTACAAATGTGTAATTGAGATGGTAGTTGCACAATGATATTAATCACACATTTAGTTTAAGAAAGTAAGGCAAAGATTTTCGTAACACTCAGAAGACTTTCAAGAACACCTGACCCAGACATGCTTTTTTTTCAATTTTTACTTTGTTTATATTACAGAGCAGCACTATCACAGGGATGTGTCCTGACTCATATTTTGTTTGACTAATACAGCATCTTTTTATCTTTTGTGTAACAAATAAGTCCAGTGATGGCTTCATTAGTTGGAGTCAGGCAAATTATTGAATAGATAACTGATTGTAGGCAATTTCCAAAAAATAATGCTTGTCTTATTTATGCCGTACAAGGTAGGAAACATTTTCTTCAAACACACGTGTTAACACGTTCCTTAATGCCCACTGTAATTTCACCTTACTTAAAACTCCCGTAAATGATAGTTTTACAAAAATAATGCCTAACAATAATTTTTCTCTCAAAAAATAAAGGAATTTAACAAACACGCTTGCAAATTTCATACAATTTAAACGTCGCGTCGTATCAAATTAAATAAGGTAATCAAATTTGGGCTTCCATCTGTTCTGCATTATCTAATCATAGACGACACCATCTGCGGCGCGATGCCGAAACAAACCTTTATAAGTAGAATGTACACGAAGTTATGCTTTTCTGATAGTTGTTTACCAAACCTACGAAATTATGTTTATTTGGAACGAAAAAGAATTTTAGAGAGACAGGTGTTTTGAAGAAAAAGAGATCGACCACCCTTCACTGTGCGTAGATACTCCACCCTTCGTGACTCAATTCGAAACCACACTACTTGATCTCGAATTTTATAAAATCACCCATACAACGGGTGAGGGAGGGTTAAACCAATAAACCTGGCCACTGGCTCATACTAGATCTACGGTAATTCGATAATAATCTTTTGGATTGTATATTGCCGTTGAACCACCCTAATTATATGATTGCAATTTGTGCCTTTTGTACTACGGGCAATGTAAGGAACAAATTTTGTAGCACCATTTATTGATAAATTTGAGTGTTTCATCAAAATTTTTATTTTCATTTGGTATTTTAATTGCCAGAATCTTGTATCATTAGTTTCTGCTACATTGAAAAAAAAACCTTATGCCGCAAGGCACACTACCGATCAACTAATTAAGTAGGTACTAGTTTTGCACCGTCGTAGTTTGAACTTCTGAACTTGTTTCATTATTGATACTGTGCAATAAAGTATCTACTTTGTATAATGCATTGTGGCAATTGCTACGTAGCTGAAGGTATTCCAGATAGTATTGATTTGGGGTGTGTATCGATCTGTCAATTCGTTTGTATGTTGTAATTTTATTATTATTATTTTGAGGCGGATTTCTTCTAATCTGACATCTGTACGGATAAAACGAAATTCTAATCCTTTTTGTGCCAATAAATAAACAGTAATTAAGAGAATGGCACCAAAGTCCGGCTATTGAATGTTTGCCGGTATGACGTCACGTAAAAGCGTATGGTTGAAGTCGACTGAATTTTTTTTACCAGTAATAATAATAACAACTTTATTGTCTGCGATCAAGTATTTTGACATAGACATCGTCATGCATTCATGGAGTTGACATTAGTGGTGGCGATACCATCTTGTTTTCAGCATTAAGGGTGTGTTGTGGGTAGCTGTATTGTCGGAGGACCTGGGCAAGTCAGATTGAGCATTTCTTCAGTAAATTTGGAAAAGGTGGTGCAAATGTAATTGAATTTTTATGTCGGTAATACTTCAATAGATGTTGGGGTTACGATGAAATAAAACAAAGGTTTTTAAAGATGTCAAATAATTCCCGAAATAGAATGAACCCCTTGCTGGAAACGATTCTTTATTAACAAAATATTCTATGCTCCTTGGGTTCGCGCTGCCATGGCCACAGGATTCCCTGGTAAAACCTCTTAGATTCATAAAACCTGCTAATGGCTCTAAAACAATGTAAAGGTCCTTACCGGTGATTATTGCTGACTTCCAGATTCTTAAAACCTCCTTAATCTCTCTAAGATTTTAAAGGTTCTTAAGCCCTAAAGGCCACATTAACTCTTCTATTCGGGACTGTTTGAATGACTTGGAAGCCCTTGGTAAACGTTTACCACTCACTCTTAAAAACTTTTAAAGATTATCACAGTTTTTTAAAAGTAAGGTTAAGAGGGCTTAAAGGCTCATCAAAACAAGTCTCTTGAACACTCTTTAAAGCGTATTACGCTTTAAGCTTCTGCTTCTAATTGACAAGATATCTGGCTAACAGGAGAACATTATCTATGAATAGGTGTTTTTTTACGCCCAAGGGAAATGTTTCTTTTGGAGGTCTTTGCACATCCGTAGAGAGACGCTCAAATATTCTTAAAGACTAAAAGCCCTTAAATGTCTTGCAGGTTTACCCTTTCAAACATTTTTTAAATCTCTTGAGCGATTGCCAACCGCTCTTAAAGGCATGTTAGAGACGCCGTAGGTCACTAAAAGGTTGTGGAGACCATTTACAGAAAACATTTGGTGACTCAAGATATTGATCAATACTCTTAAAGCCTAACCTTTTTAAAATATAATTTGGAAGTCTCAAAAGAGCTCTAGAAAACCCTCTTGGTCATCTTTGCAAACTCTTTGTTTAAGACTTCTTAAGGGCCGGTTATCTTATAGGCAAGATTGGAAATTTTTAGGTCTGGGGTGCAAATGTTAAGTTATTAACAGGGAACGTTTTTCGAAGACTTTTTGGAATCACATATTTTTATGTTGAACTATTGCAACAACTTTCTCTGTCCATCCGTCTGTCCGTGCTATATCTATTGCCATTTTCAAGATTTTCTGGCATCTGATATAGGAAAAGTTTTGGTTTGCCCTTAATACTCTTGATTCATGATAAAAGAATGTTAAAACTGATATTTTTCGGTAAGAAAACGTTAAAGTCCAAGGGCAAAAAATCGACTTAAGTACAAAATCCGGATACGCAATGTTTGCTAGTGGTAAGTTGCAATCAAGATAGATTTTATGAATCATACTTGGGAGTGTGGCATTTAGTGTGCAACTCCAATGGAGATATTTGATCCTATCGCGACCAAAAGATGAATTACTCGTATTGCACATTCGATTTTAAACATAATGTATTGCAATTCGCAAAACTCAATTTCAATTGTGCAAGGCTACTTGCGAAACCACATTAGAACTGCATATAACTGGAACATAATTTGCAAACTGGACCTCAGTAAATCTGTGACAAACTTGAGAATAATCGTGCAAAGTAAAATTACAACGTTCTCTGTAGGATTGCAATAGGACACATTTTTATAATAAGTTACATAACCACGACTACGTTAAGAACAAAACAATAAATTCTGTAAAACGTAATTACAATTTAGAAAGTGAATCGTCATTTTTAAGTACTAATTAACGGTAAATATACCTATACTAGTGATTGCTAAAAAATAATGTTCTAGCAAATATGTTTTGATTATTAGCTATTGCAATAACCTCGAACCCCAGGGAAAATTTGGCCGCAATGTGCACTTCATTCCAAATGGGCTATAATTAACATTCAATTATTTTCACGATGGTAAAACTTGTCCACCTTGGAGACTATATGGTCTGTAAAAGACATCAAATTGAACAACTGGAAATATGGGGACGCGCTCAGTTTTCCACAATTTTGAAAACGACTATCGATCTCTCGGCTGGTTTTAAGCAGGAAATTTGTGTATTTTATACTTGACCTCATTCTCCAACTGTCTGGTCTACGAATGTGATTCAATCTTGCGTCTTTCGCATTTTTTGGTGTATTATCCTTTCGAACGAGTAGTTGTTTTAAACTAATTACATCCGGTTAACCTTTACCAATAGGTACGTGTGAGTACCGAGAAAAATTACTTTTGTTTTGCATTAACGTAGCGAAAACGAAGTCCAAGACCATTTTCTCGTTTGTATGCGTGAAACACTATTTTATCATACGTCTTTGATTACAGATTTACCGCAAGCATGGCTCTAGTATTAAAATACGTCGATGATTTCCACACGCTTATGAATAAAACTGGGGGTGAGTAAACCGATCATTTTAAATTCGATCTGATTTTTTTTTCAGATCCGCGTACCGCTGATTGGTTTTTAATGTCCAGTCCGTTTTATACGTTAGGAATATGTCTCACATACGTTTATATTGTCAAGGTAAATTTGTAACAAATTTTAAAAGTACGCCCGTCTAAGTCATTTTCGCCAACAGGTTTTGGGACCAAGAGTCATGGAGAATAGGAAACCATTTCAACTTAAAAACGTGTTAATAGCTTATAATTTATTTCAAGTAATATTTAGTGCGTGGATCTTTTATGAGGTATGTGTCCTTTATTCCCAAATATCTAGGTTTAAGCAGTAAAATTACCTTTACTTAATTGTTAAACGTACCTATTGTTAGTGCCTCATGGGAGGCTGGTGGGGTGAATACAACTATATGTGTCAACCCGTCGACTACTCCAACAGCCTTAGCGCCATTCGTGTAAGAAGGACTTGTTTTTTTTATAATGCTAAATTAGGCACTCCGACATTATTCAGATGATTTTGTTACAACACTCCTTTCGTAGTTCTGGACGGAAGCCTAAAATCATCTGAATTGTATGGTGACTGGTTTTGTACATGCATCGGGTAGAGGTAGTAAGCTTATTACATGTTTTACGGGTACAGTCAATGTTTGTGTATTATTAACATTAGGTGCTAACCTTGTCGTTCATTTGTAATAAATCGTTTAGGTCTAAACTGTTGTATAGGTATTAAGTACAAAGCTCATGAAAGGCCACCACGATGTTTTAAATTGGTTGCATTTCTAAAGTTACCTGCACATCTTGACAATTGTCACTTATAACAGTTATAACTGACAATCGAGTTGTCAGTTTTGTGGCAATTAAAAGTGACGTTTGGCCATAAATGCCAGTCTCGACGATGGGCGATTGTAAGAATCGGCGATTAAAAGTGTTGCACATTTAAAAATACAACTATTTTAAAAGGTATGGTAAAATCGAGGAATAAATATCGACAACTCGCAGTTATTGTGTTTCTAAAAAATATGATAGAGCATCGGAGGCGCCCGACGAGGTTTTGTAATGGCGCCGTCTCAATCGCTTTCGAAAAGCACTCCTTAATTCGCGCAAACTTCAATTACAATACCTATTTGATGTAGGTATTTAAAGGCATTCACACTGCTTTTTACCTACTGCTAACAAAATATTGTTTCAAGTTTTCGCAGTTACGAGCGCCTTCTACGACTCTACTTGAGCAGAAGATTATACCTAACTAATTTTCAGTTCAAGCCAGAGTGCCTTCTTATTTCTAGTCCATAAAACTTTTATCTCCTTCAGATAATGCTATTTTAATTTCTTTCTAAATGAATCGATAATTACATTCGAACATTGAATAAAAAATATAAGATACAGTAGGCGCTCGGTAATCCGGCACCCAGATTTTTTTCGCCTGTGCCGGATTACTAGATTTGTATGGGATATAAAAGCATTTTGTCCTACATGTACTATGTGGGAAATAAATTTTGCAAATAGTTCAGTATCTTTCAATTTACTCTCTATAATAATTTTTGAATATTTTATGAACCTTTTGAAAATTTTGTTTGTTATATACTTGCTTTATTTTAACAATCAATTAAAAAAAATATTTTACAAATTACCTACTACTCGGTTTGCCTAAACTAACATGAAACTCAAAACTTATTGGGTTCGTAATCACACGGGACAATTTTTTTTAAACAGTTATGTACAAAAACATTAAATCTTTCGCAGTACACGTTCGTAATTTCACTAGCTCCTTGTAATCGTTGGTCAGATAATAGTTTAACAGTACATTTGTGTTTTTTTTTTGTTTACACGACGATCATGGCCGACAATCAACTTTAACTGGTGGTGTTTAATTGTTTACGACAACTCCACGCCATGCCATAGTGTTAGTTTTTCTCATTTAACAAAGCGTTAAACCAAAACGAATTTTATTTATTAACAACAAAAAAACTTACAGTTTCACTACTTAAAGATTAAATACGCAGAGTTAGTAGAGGGACGCAACAGTCTTTTAGATGAATGGCTGTTTAGATTTCTTGCACAAACAGTTTCTTTCGATTTCTATAAGTTTAATGTTACTCTTATCTTATATAGGCTTTGTTCCATAAATGCAATGTACCCGATTTTTTTTAAATTAAAATTTTGCATTTGTACTGGAAAAATATGGTTTGTAATAGAAATCATACTAATCATGATTTTAAAAAAAGCGATAATATACATACATACATACATACATACCTCATACATAATCCTTCCTCTTCCGTTTTTCATGATCTATCGAAAGAAAATATTATCATGATAGTTTCACTTCCGGTTTCACCGGATGTGAATAGCAACTGTCTTATTTTAAATAGAACGCCCTATATTTTATTGCATTTTCGAAATCTACATTAAAATCTACGTGTTTGATATCACATTTTCCTATAACCAGCATCAATGGTTTTCAAGTTATTCTTATTCAAGATTTTTCAAAATTGTTGACGTTTGACTGCTTTTCTCTAGGGCCCTGTAGCTACGACTCCGTTGACTTGAATGTCAAAAAGTTTCTAAAATCAACAGCACTGCCTTAATGCTGCATGAGAATGATTTAAATTGTGATCACCCTTCTACAGGGTATTCTAAAGCTAATGGTCGATTTTAATAACTTCAAATCTTAAAAAGATTTTTCAAGTGAAACCTGCTTTATTTTTTTGCGCTTTAAAATATCGATAAAAATTCTACATCGGTCAATTATTACATTCCCTATTATACGTAACTGTTATGTATTTCGTTTTATTATAGATTTTCTTAAATTGTACTTACTACTTGCATATATTAGTAGACCTGACTTGGAACCCATTGATGCTGGGTATAGGGAAATGACGCCTAAATAGAAATAAACGCGCATCGACCCATATTCTATTATTATTATCTATTAATTACTTACTACTTGCATTACAAAACAAACTCAAAAGTTATAACTATATACTGTATAAGCACAATTACGAGTACCTGTAACTTTTTCCTTGGAATACTTGGAATAGTTATAGTCATATCAGAATGGGACTTAGACCCTTGCAGTTAGCCATCAATTTTTTTAAAAAAAGAGTACGCATTATCGTGAGTTCGTAAAACGGTATTATTACTTTTCAATTTAATCGACCTTACATATAGTATATACAGGGTGGTGACTTGCGTAACGCTTCATAGGGATTTCAATGTAAAATTCATAACATGCGATTATTGGCTCTCCAAATTATTTTAGAGAAAAAATGTATTAAGGTTTTTTGTAGGAAAAAAATTTTTATGTCAATCAACCGTTTTCAATTTTTTGCATAATAAAGAGGGAAAATTGGAAAAATAAAACCCCCATCTTTTTCAATAATCTGCGATGCCATGGAATTTTATAATACAAAAATATCCGTCATGCCATCAAATGTCTGCTATAAAACAAATTAATTTCTATCAAAAAGTATATTATATTTAGAGCAGCGAATTCAACATAAAGAAAGACCAAATTACTAAAAACGGTTTCCTAATATAACAATTTACAATAAATGTACGAATAAGTCATCATTAACTGCAGTACAGTAACCAAGTCGATCATAAAAGCTATTTCGTAGTGCTGCTAATTGATAACTGGATATCTTTTTGTTTTAGTAAATTGCATGGCATCGCAGATTATTGAAAAAGATGCGGGTTTTATTTTTCCAATTTTCCCTCTTTATTATGCAAAAAATTGAAAACTAAAATACGGTTGATTGGCGTAAAAAATTTTTTTCTACAAAAAAACTTAATACATTTTTGCTCTAAAATAATTTGGGGCGCCAATAATCGCATGTTATGAATTTTACATTGAAATCCCTATGATGCGTTACGCAAGTCACCACTCTGTATAGTAAGAATATCACAATATAATGTTCTAAAAAACATTGCATTGGAGTATAGCATTTTATTTTACCAAAATTTTTAGTAGGATCGTAATATGAACCCCGTGACTAAACTGAGCAAATACACACCGATTACGTCGCAATGGATTCCGTACGTACACAGTGCGTTTCTTAAATGATGGGTCATTTTTTTGTAAGATCACTTTATTATCAGGTCAAAGCTTGGATAAAAGTAATAAATTTTAACACGTACTATTTAATTCTACATAATTATCCATACCACATACATTTTTCTACCTGGAAAATTTGGAATTTTGGAGATTTTTTAAAGCTGCACGGTTCGTGCAAAGGTAGATTCATTTTTCACACAAATTTTGTTGAATTTCACTTGAGTTATCAAACAAGAACACTTCCAGAAATACTTGCCAATCAAAACATAATACATAAGCCATTATGGGTCTTATCGACCTCTAAGTTACACGATAACACGTGCTGTAGTCTGCGTATTCTAGCTGGATGAATTGATTTATTTTCTTTTTACAATACCTGCTAGCATTTAAATGTTTAAATGTTTCATGTCTAACCAAACATGATTGTCCCTGTGGACATTTAAGCGCGTGGACGTAAATTAAACACCTTTTTACTGTTGTTGTTCAGAACCGCTTGACTCATAAATGTCCATTGTTTTATTAACTATTGTGTAATCTACACATCAACATTGATTCAACCCATAATTGTCAGTTCAGTGAAAAATACCTTACTCAACGGTTTATACTAACAACTAAACAGTGTATCATTTCTTCACATTTTACCTCTCAGTCACCATACTCTTCTCAATCCTGCCCAATTCAATTGCAGAATGCACCCGCAGGAGGAAATCGGTGCAATTTTTAATTTAGTCCAAAATTCTTAAGCTTGCAATTCGCTATAATCAATCAATAGTGAAGCATAGCAGGGGTCGAAGAATAGTTGGCACTTAGTCACTGTTTATATTGATAGCCAAAAATAGATTCCTTTTTTGGTATGCTAACGTTTGCGGCACCACCTTTTGGTAATGGAAATGCTTGTTACTTACAGATTGGGATGTCAGGGTGGCTAACAGGTCGCTACAGCTTAAGATGTCAACCCGTGGATTATTCCAATCATCCCAATTCCATAAGAGTGAGTTAAAACGATCTCGATAACCGCAAATGATACAGATGTTAATAATCATTATCATAATAAATCATTAGTGCTCTAAAGGCATGTACATTTTGCTTTCTTTGCCATCGTTAACAAATTTTGTTAGGAAACTAACATATTTTCTCTGTGTAGATGACCCACGCGAGTTGGTGGTACTATTTTTCCAAGTTTACGGAGTTCATGGATACTGTAAGAGTATACTATTCGGCTGTATAGTCAATAATGTATGAATCTGTTGCAGATTTTCTTCATTTTAAGAAAAAAGTTTGGCCATGTAACGACGCTACACGTTATTCACCACGGAATTATGCCAATGTCAGTTTGGTTCGGTGTAAAATTTACCCCAGGTTTGTAAAGAGGATTGCTAAATCGTTTTATAACAAGTATCTATTGTAGGTGGGCATAGTACTTTCTTTGGTTTCCTTAACTCGTTTGTTCACATTGTAATGTATTTTTATTATTTGCTTGCCGCAATTGGACCCCAAATGCAGAAATATTTATGGTGGAAAAAATATCTAACAACTTTACAGATGGTATGTATCCATGCGTGCTAGGTTTTTCATAACTATTCTCATTTTCAAGGTACAATTCGTCTTAATTATGGTGCACGCCTTCCAATTATTATTTATAGACTGCAATTACCCACGTGGCTTTGTGTGGTTCATAGGAATGCATGCAGTTATGTTCTTCTTCCTGTTCAAAGATTTTTATAATCAAGCCTACAATCGAAGGGAGAAGAGAAAGTTGGCAGTTCAAACCAACGGCCACATTAAACATTCAGAAGATCAAAATGGATATTTGAAGCAGAATGGGCATACAATCAAACAAAATGGGCATACGATCAAACAAAATGGCGTACGAGATGCAGCAGATTATTACACAAATGCTCAGTTCTCCGAGTTAAATAACAGAACGAAAGTTGAGTGATGTCAGTGCAATTAACTCTTAAACAATTAAAGAAGAAAATACTTAAAAAACTAATCTGTACAGGATCATAATGTTGTTGTTATACCTAATGATTGTTATGAAGTTGCTCAATTTTAGGAAATTCTACATGTATATAAGTCAAATTGAGAGTGATTTAAATTAGCAATGTGGCTTTTTATAGGTGCTACAATTAAATACACCTATTTTTTATATTATTAAGTTTCTAATGCGAATGTAGGAGGGGGGCATTGTACAAATGGGAAATTTAATTATAATTTATCGGATTGTTATGCTACCATAATATATTTTATAAGATACTAGGGTTAATTTATTAATTGTCTTAGTTATTACACTTTTATACATTGCTAATTTTGTACATATTATAATAATTTAAAGCTATAATTGCATTTCTTTCTTACATCACTTTGCTGTGACTGTTCCGACTTCAATGAATGCTTATTAGAATGTTATGTAATGTGAATAGTAAGTGAAAACTATTAGATGAATTGTTCTTCAACATTGAAATATTTATTTTTATTAAGTTTTATGTAGAACTGTACCTATGCCATGTTCAAAACTAATTCTAAAGCGGAAATGTATGTTGTAAGTCGCAATGCTTAGTATCATAATTGTTAGTTTTTATACATCTACAAGAGCTGTTTTCCGAAGAACAATTATTTTTGTTTTGTTTTCTAAAAATATAAAAATCTAAAAAGAGGTTTTCTCAGTGGACACCAAGTATAAATTGCACCCAAGGCTAATTCTCTCGTTTACCTAGTCAATATAATGTGGGGCTGCTAAAGCTTATGATTTATTCTTAAACAGTTGCTTCAAACTACTCATAATTTAAAGTAAAAGAAAAAGGTGGTGTTTGATGCACTTACTTGAGTAAGTCGGCATAATCTCGGTGTGGAGAGACTGGGAGTAGTAGTAAAGCAAGTGTACTTAAGTCACAGTTGATTTTTCCATTTCCTGCATATAACTAGTACGCAATGTCACTCTAGCAACCCCCAACTAACCTCAAGCAACCCCTACTATAACTGGACCCGGCATGCGAGTAACGGGCACTCACAAAGCATGGGACAGACAGTGTCCTGGTCTGTATTGCACTCTTTAAAAGAAGGAAATCCATTGTGCTTGTTCAATTTGCCGTGGTAATAGTCTCTTTTTGGACACCATAACACTACCCCTTAACGCTGTGTATTAACCGGATGTCTTATTGAATTCACCGCCCAGGTTATCCTTGCCACGTTTTACTAACTGAGTCGCAGTAAGTGGTAGTTTTTTTAGTGTCTTAGCCGTCTTCTAATAGCTAATTGTCTCTGTATATGTTCCATACTCATTTTTGAAACTGATTGGGTAGTACTTAATGAGGGTCTAATCTGCACAACGTCGTTTTCCGAAGAGCGAGTGTTCTGCTACACAAAGGTGTGTATGGTCTCTTAAATGACCTTGAATGTATGGCAACGTACCTCTACGGTTAGGCAACATACCCTGAAGTATCGCACTATGGAAACAATACGAAACGGTCTGTATATACAGCAGTCGTTCTGCGCAGCTGCCGAAAAACAGGGAATTTATACAACGAATAAGCGTTTTCGAATTCGAGCCGAGTAAAGGTGGGTCTAACGTTTATTTTGTTGTTGCGTTTCGAAAATTGTATTTATAGGTACTATTTGTTTTGCTCTTTCGTGTACTAACTATGAATCTTTGAATTTCACATCACAAATATGTTATTATTTTGATTATGCATAAAATGATATTTGAAGCGTGGCGTTCCTCCATGCTTTTGTTTTGAGTACCGTTATCATGTTTGTTTGTCATACTGTACTAACAGTAAAGGTGATTACGCCTTTATATTGTTTATGAAGCATTTATTTCTGTATTCCCGAATAATAATTGCTAATTGCTGCACCTTTATTATCAGTGAGCAATTTCGATTTAACTATTCATTGGGAGTACCGCATATGCAGTTCCATTCTCCACTGCATATGTTATTCCTTCATTTCGTGCAGACTGCAGCTCTTGTGTTTCTCTGTATGAGTGGTTTTTTTTGTGCACGTTGCTGGACGTTGAGAACGCAATACGGGAAGTGGGTCCTCCTATTACTATTCCTTCTATATTTAAATGTTTTGCTTTGGCGATAATAGACTTAAACATGAATACTTACCTACTATTGCAATTTTCACATGTAGGTACCTACCTTTCGTTTTAAATTAATGGAAGTCGATGCCGGAGTAGAGCTATGTTTTTGATGTGTTCTTTTCTGTACATGCAATTTATCATTTTACGTGTTATTTTATCTAAATTGAACCGTAGATGTGCTGGATGTGTTTTGTGCTTACTTCATTTGATTTATCGTATTTTCAAGTGTTCTAATTATGTCTCTTGTGCTTTGTTCGTGTTGATTTAACTGCATTTGACTTAATTACCTGATTTTATTTGTCATGTTTACACTTATGCATTTATATGATGCCATTTGTGTTTGTTTTTACGAATTTGTTTTACTGCATTTGATTCGATACCTATTATCCAATTTGCTATTTTTGATTTGTTGCATTTTGTTGTAGTTTATATATTTCTTGTATTTGCGCGCGTGTCTTATGTTCGCCTTTTTCACTCGAAGGTGACTCTTTTCACCAGAGTTGCCAACTGTCAGTTAGAGTCTTCGCTCTCTTCTGCTTAGCGCCCAAAAAGGTACTTCCACTGTTGGGATATTTTTATGGTTCGACGAGTTGCAACTGAATTTTAGGTGTATCCAAAAACTTTTCATGTTACAAAAAATTAACCTCTTCCCACCCGCCACAGTGCAATTAGTAGGATTTATCTCCCAAGGGAGACAGTACGAATGCGTCATTCGTTTCCGAGTTCGAAAATGCTCTAAGTAGGTACCTTTATCTCATCTATCGAAATCCTGGTCCGCCACTGCAAGTGGATTCGATTACCAGTTACTTTCAAGCATACCCCGAGTTTTCTGTGAAGACATGTCAAAATGCTACTTAGTTTAGTGATAAACGCAGTTGACAAAGTAGAGTCTCCCTTGTCCCTTCCTCTTCTAATCTAAGCACCAAAGGGGGTTGGGGACATTGGACAACATTTTACTTCTGTAAGCAGATCTAACATATCTACCATTACAGGGGAACGCGATGTACAATTTGAAATTTCATTAAGTACCTTGTAAGGTGTTTCATTGAGCGCAGTGAAACAAATGCTTCTAACTCACTCGTTCATAAAATAGCGGCTACCTGAGGATGGCAAACTCCATCTTAAGTTGATGAAATGTAAGACAAGCCAAAGTAACTTTTCCTGTAAAATTGGTTAAGAAAACCACTTGCTATATGGTGGAAAGGAAAGGAAAGGAGCAAATGTTTTTCTTCAATTAGATTTTTTCTAAATTTTCTCTAGCTTTGTAGTAATCCTATGTATATGTTACCGGCAAATTGCGAAATCCGGCATTTTGCAAACTGCCTAGGCATTTCGCGAAATGACGAATGCAACAGGCAAAGTGAGAAATAGAGCTGGAGTTCGCACTTTGCCTGCCTTTCTTTAGGGATTTCGCGAAATGCCCATACATGCAGGCAAAATGCGAAGGCTTCGTCATTTCCCACCAATTGCGGATACAGTGTTGCCATTGGATTGTAAACGAGGCGAGGATTGCGATTTTATTTAAGTACTCGTTAAATATTACGCTCACGTTTAGACTGCATTTGTTCTATGGGTTTTTCTGGCTTTGGAGTTACTGTGGAGAATATATCAGATGGGTACTAACGAACAGTTTTACGTTTGGCACCGCTGTACGCGCAATCTGTGGAAATAACCGACCATTCTCACTTTGCCTGAATGTTTAGGCATTTCGCGAAATCCCTAAAGAGAGGCACGAGAAGTGCGAACTCGAGTTCCATTTCTCACTTTGCCTGCTGCATTGGTCATTTCGCAAAATGCCTAGGGATTTTGCAAAATGCCGGATTTCGTAGTTTGCCGGTAACATATACATTTTATATTTACCCATGTAGTGCAAAAGAATAACCCTACCGCTGAGGGCATTGCGTGTCATAAAAGACTACTAAACAACAGTTTGTCAGCCGCAATCGCAGCTGAAGGGCGTTTGTAGTATGACAAGATTTTACAGATTATGATTTCTTTCCCGATCTGTGACATTTTTAGACATTTTAGTGCCATGGGGTTTAAGGAAGATTTCCTCCAGGATAGGTTGAACATTTGTGTGGGGTCATGCACCTTTTTGAAACTAGTTCATGTAAGTTTTGAATGGTCAGATTTCTTTTAAAAAATTAAGACCAAATTGCTGCGAGTCGTCAAATTTGCGTTGATTAATTTTCGGATTTTCTGAGTGGTGTAAGTTACAGATAAAGATAATACATTGCGATTGGTGGAAATCATGGCGAAGATAGCCGAATGGGTGCAGGCACTGACGGAATTCCGGTTCCGTTTCGGTTTTCAAGGTAACTCTCATAGGATAGGAAAAAAGTTAGAAGAAAGAGAACGGCTGCGAAAGCGTAAAATTGGGGTAAAAGAAAGTTATGACGTTCGGGAAAGTGAAAGAGGGCCGCTTTTCTTTTATCCGCAAAGGAAAAGCGTTTCGTGTTGGGCAGACGGAAAAGAGTTCTTTGGAACAAAGTCCAAACTCGTGGATAATCACGGTGATATGAATGCTGACTTGTTCTTTATAATAATAACTATAATAATGTTTATTGAGCATGAAGTACAACAGCAAAAAACATTTAAAAAAAAATAATCATAATTAATAAACGAAAAGTGAACATCTAAACGAAACAAAACAATAAAATAATAATGTTGTACACCTCAAAAGGTAATGAAATCGGCCTAAAGCCGTTTTTCAATTCATCTTGTAAGATACAAAATGATAAAGAAAACAGCCGTCTTGCTAAATTAATTACAATTCTCTAAGAAAAAGCTCTTACTAGATCTAACAAACTGGGGATAGTTCATGTGCAATGCATCTAATCTTAAATTTAACAAAGATGGTGCAACATATGTGAAGCAACCCTGGAATTATTGCAGTTTTATATCTAGGTAAAAGAATTTTCAGTGGACTGAATAGAAGCCTGTTCCGAATTTGGAGAAAGGTCGTTGATTGTGATAAACTACTCCACCGTGGCAGCATCCAACAAAAGCCTGAATTAATCCACGCATTCAGCAGTTGCTGGCAGGTTCAAACCGAAGCTACCCGCCCTGGTACGAGCACATGCACTTGCCAAGCAGTAGAAGGTGGATGATAAGTACTTGCGCGAGCACGGCCACGAATGTTTACGCT